TTCTATTATAGATAAATTTTATGCTATAAAACATCATCGGGTTCAACTGTAATATGTAACATTATATTACAATTTTTCTTGTTATATATAAATTTTATTCGTACATTAAATTTTAAAAAAATTTGCGCTCGTACCATTCATTCCTGGCTCTGCCCCTTACACATGTTATGCATCAATCAAGTGAATTCTCTTTTAATGGGGACTATTTCCGTCATAAATTGTTAACATTTCTGTCGCTATTATTTTTCGTTTGAAAAAAATAAAATGTTCTGTATTACAATTTACAATGTCATTCCGGCCATTAAAAATACAATAAACAGCCACTGAAATCGAATGGGTCTGCTATCAAATTGTCCAAAGCTAGTTTGATTATTGAATGCTCCACTTGGAGCTATATCCTCAGTCAGTTTACATGCTCCAAAAGTCATATTTTCCTGCACATGATAATTGTTTACATTAATAAATTATGGATTCTCCTACCTGTAATGTCTCCAACTTGTCAAAGTGTTCATATGGTAGAATTATTGTAAACTAGAATACTACCTTAATGAAAATGAATATATTTGTCTAATAGACTTTAGAGCCAGTGCTACTAGGTATCAAATAATGCCTCGTATTGCAAAAACTTACCTTGCAAGAGGCTATGTTTGCACAACCACAAACTAGTTGGCCATTAGCCGTATCTACTGCTTGAGGTGCACCTCCTCCGTCGCTTCGCTGCAAGATTGAAGCACACAAAATATAAGTTCATACTAAAAAAGATTGGACGTGTCAGGTGTGGGATGAGTTTGTCTGCATAGGACTTTCTTAAATAACAAAAATACCCTGTAATGATCAACAGCAATGAAGTTAGGCCACCTTTTACCGGCTGCTTCATAACATGTGTTCATCATGCTAATTAATGGGGCTGAATTGTATCTGCAAGATTGGGTTAAACTTGGAGTATCTGGAAAATAATTCATCAGGACCAGTGATCGTGTGGTTACATTCATTGCAGGTGATTCTGAACGATTTGGACACAATCCAACTCTCATTCCACCATCGCCATCTGCAAGTTAACCAAATTATTTTTTGCTGGTTGATAATTAGTATTCAATGTATCCACCAAGATTTATCTTAGCACAACGCGAATCAAGACTGGACCAGTAAACATAGGAAGTTCTTTTTTTTTTTCAGACAAAATCCCTTTTGCTTCATATTTAAGAAGTTTTAGGTTTGGCTTCTCGAGAGACAAATGAGCTATCTTTTTGCAAGTTTTCAGAAATTTATTTCAATTTTGTAGCCATCATAGGAAATGTTATTTACATGTATAATGACTGGTTATTAGCGACGAAATTAACTTGGTAATTTCATGATGAATAAGAGATTAGAAGGGATGAAACGATATATCTTAGCTAGTTTTGAGAAGCCTCACATTGATTTTCCACCATGTAT